AATTGGATTTGTCGCTATGGTGTTCCATCTGAGGTTCATTCCGATCAAGGTATGAATTTTGAATCAGCGATCTTCAAGGAAATGTGTGACTCCTACGGAATTAAGAAAACCAGAACGACGCCCCTACATCCACAATCAGATGGCATGGTGGAAAGATTCAATCGCACCCTTGAAGAACATCTACGGAAAGTGGTGGACAGTGGCCAACGAGACTGGGATGAGCATATTCCAAAGTTTTTATTGGCTTATAGATCGGCCATTCATGATTCCACATCCCGGACCCCAGCCAAAGTTCTGTTCGGAAATGAATTAAAGCTACCTGGCGATTTGATATTCGGTGCTACCCCAAACGACGATGTGAACCAAGATGAAGACAGTCAAAACTCTTTTAGTAAAGTCCACGATGCAGTCCGACATCGAATAAAAATGGTTAGCAACCGCATGAAGGCAAGGTACGATCGAGCGGCAAATACCGATGGGTTTCAAGAAGGGCAACTGGTACTATTGTTCAACCCACAACGAAAGAAAGGACTATGCCCCAAATTGCAAACGCACTGGGAAGGACCCTACAAGATTGTCACGAAAATAAATGACGTCGTTTATCGCATCCAGAGGAGCGACAGTCCCAGGTCGAAGATGAAAGTTGTACATTTGGAGCGGCTGACCCCCTACGGAACGGGAACTGTGCCTATTCGGGACGAACAGGCTTAAGCGGGGGGCAATGTTACGAATATAACTTTAGATTTAAGTTAATTTAGATGAATTCCGTTAATTTAAGAATTTGAATTGTAACGTAAATTTCTACTACGCAGTTTATTTGAATAACTTCACAACAACAACCACTGTATAGATTTTTCTACATCCTTCCATTTCCTCTTTCATTTTCTATTTTGTTATTGTCGTACAATTCTTGTTAAACGTCATTCCTCTTTCTGTGTTATTCCCTCGCCTGTATATGTGTTGTTGTTATTCCTCTTTCTTTGTTATTCCCTCGCCTGTATATGTGTTGTTGTTAATGTAAGTTTGTTTACTCAAGTTTGTTGTTGTTATTGTTCACTCAGTAAGTTTGTTGTTGTTATTGTTACTCAATGTGTTTGTTGCATTGGTAGATTGTTCGTGATCTAGGTGTTACCAGATCGTCTAGAAACTTCTGTAGCGACAGGCAGGGCTCATATAAATAGAGGGAATGGAAAGGCAGTTAGTCAGTTGTGAATCAGATCGCGAATTGAAACCGTCGTGTAAAGTAAAGTGCAAAGTAAAGTTGTGTGAATAAAGTCATTGTAATAATCGTAATCTGAAAGAACCCGCGTTTTATTTGGTACGAATTGTATCGGGAAATAAAACAACGTCTACACGGGATTTAGTAAAATCCAAGAAGAACGTAACAATATCTTTAATACAATATTTGATTCGAGCATAATCTCTTGTTTAAACTTTTCTCATTTTAAAACACTTAACTTTTCTTAAAGGATAATTCGTTAAAGACAATTTCACAATTTTAATCAAAAGCCATTCACATTAATTGCATGGTAGAAACGAAGAGGGAAACGGTAAGAATGGCAAAGACAAAGATTTTAACATTTATTGCCTGTGTTCTTTCTCGGTAAATGTCTTTGGTAAAACTGGAGAGAGCTAGGTATTTTTTTTTGTAAATGAAAAAGTATTTCAACCATTGTCTGGGAATCTGCTTTTAATGTGGTTAACAGAATATTAACTATTGTGTGTTTTGCTGTAAGATGATATTCATTTGAGATATGTATGAAGGAAGGTGGGCCAAAACAGAACCTATTCTACACAGCTGAATATGTTAAAATATTTAAAGGGACTGCCGTTATAACGGCATCGTTACTAACGAGAGTATTTAAAAGTAGTCCAAAAAGTTCTGCTCTTTATTTTACATCGATTAGGCAGGTAGACTGACGGACACTGGTGGCCATAATTAAAGCAACTAACTTTTAAAAATAAACTTATAGTGAACGTTTTTCAAAAAAACAAAAAAAAGATAATAGGTAATTTATTCACTTTAAAAATATATACAAACACAAAATTTGCAATAAATGTAATACTAAATTGACCCAATTTTTGCTTGGTCAAAACTAGATCCATTTTTATTATAACCTCCCTCATAGTATGGAGGGTATATTAATTTTATTCATTTATATTCATTTAATTTCTTGATAAGGGTAAAATTCTAAGACAATCTATCTTCTGAAGGAATTGAGATAGGGTGCTGAAATTTTGCCTGCAGGCAGGCAAGTTAAATTTTCCCAATTGGGGCACCCCTAAGGTTCGGTATTTTAGGGTTCTTAGTCGTGTTTTAACCGAATTCTCTGAAATTTGTACATTAGGTTCTTTTTGGATATTTAATTTCTCCACAAAAAAATTAAAACTGTAGGTCGACTTTTTAATGTTCAGTGTTTTGGGGGTTTTGATCGTATTTTCCACCGAATTTGCTGTAATTTTGTATTTTGAGTTATTAATAGGTACCAAATCTCTTTGGGGTTCTTGTGCGTATTTTTGAACCGAATTCGCTTTATAAGTCGATTTATGCATGTCCTGTCCATGTTAAATTGTAAACAAAGTACAGGTCGTATTTTGGATTCGAATTGGATGAAATTTGGCGCAGCTCATTTATTTGGCCCAAGGACGAACCCTATTGAAATTGGGAAAAATCGGTTCAGATTTAGATATAGTTCCCATATATATTTTCGTCTGATTTATGGTAAATGGTGCATCCAAGTAGCTATATATGTTTCGATTAGCACGAAATTTGGCATAGGGTACTAAATTAAGTCTAGAGTGATGCGTGTTAAGTTTCGTGAAAATCGGTTCAGATTTAGATATAGCTCCCATATATATATTTTCGTCCGATTTTAGGTAAACAGTGCACCAACGTACCTTTATATCATTCGATGTGCACGAAATTTGGCATAGCGTATTGAATTGAGTCTAGAAATTTTCGTCCGATTTTAGGTGATTTTTCCGAAACTTATAAAGGGACTTTGGTGCATTCCATTATAAGTTTCGGGAAAATCGGTTCAGATTTCGATATAGTTCCCACATATACATATATATTCGTTCAATTTTACATAAATGGTGTACCATCCGATTAATACGAAATTTTGCACAACGTATCAATTTGAGACTTGAATGACGTTATTGCGTTTTGTTGAAATTGGTGCAGATGCATATGTATTTCGAACGGGTGTTTGACTGAAATTACATTTTTAACAGAGAGGCGTGCCGAATAGCGTATATCAATCGTTTTCCATAAATTTGAACGCAGACGACTCTAAATCTGCCGAATGATCCTTCGTGGGAACGTTGACATGCAATTGTCAGGATACATATGTACAATATACCCAAAGTGGTGAGGGGTATCATATAGTCGGCCCAGTCCGACTTTACTACGTTCCTTACTGGTTAATATATTTATCTGATTTGTTCCGAGTTTTGGTTCTAAGACTATGTTTTAATCATTTCACCTGCGGAGCATATCGAGATAAAAAACTAGAAAGTAAGGTTCGATATAACATACAATATATGGAATAAAGCCCACATATAGGTCTAGCAGTAGCCCCTCTGTGGGAAGTACCAGAAGGAGTGGACCGATGTTCCCCATCTTCGAACTTGAGCTAATTTTTGAAGATATAATTAGATATGCAAAGTTTGAATGAAATCCAAATCTTCTGAAACGGATTTGGTCCAAAGAAACCTGGGATCTAGAACCAATGCAACCTCATTTGCCATATGGCTGAGGGAATAAATATGCATAATAACATATGGTTTACATAATCGGTTTGTAGAAATGTCGGTATAGGTCCACTTTTTTGGTATGTTCCCTATATTTACATTTCATGTACCATTTTTATAAATAAATTTATCTTGTAATTGACGCTCAGAAAATTTTATCTTTGCTTGTTTCTGAATCTGTTTTAATTTTGCTATCTGTGGTACTTCAACGATTTTTCCACAGACTGAAGATAATTGTGTAGGCCATTATGAAAACCTAATGTTTGAATCCGGCAACAAAAGTTTAATCGGTTTGAGGTTATTGTCAAGCTGAAACATCCAAAGGTGCGGTATATTTCCTTCTGCGATGGGTACCAAAATGTTTTCCAACACATTTGTATAACCAATTCGATCCATTACTTCATAAATCTCGTAACAAGATCAAATTCCATAAAAAGCAAAATAGCCCAATACCATTTTGACCTGTTTTCACCATCTCACGGTAATTTTTTCAATATCAAACTTTAATTTATCCGACGACTATAAGCTTTTGTGAAAGCCTATCTGGGCTTTCTTGATGGTATCTGCGCATCTAGACCTTCCACCGTAGTTTGTCCAACACGATATCTTTATTTTTGAAAAAGTTATGCGGCATTTATTAACTTTGCAATTTTAGTTGCTTTAGTTTTGGCCACCAGTGTAACTCCTCAAAATTAACAGTGAGTTTATCAAATTTAGGGGATGAAATGTCCTGAAAAATGTATTTTTGTTAGGTTTTCTAATCGGTCCAGAGGACATAATTATAAGCCGAACATCACAATTCAAAATTTTATGGGGAATGAGATCTGGTCTACTGTTTTCATTATCATCGGTCAATATTTAGGGGGTCAAATAAGCCAAGACGTTTGTTTGTAAAATAAGAAAATTTGGATCACATGATTTATATGTTGAGGAGAGTGCAAACATCGATAAATATTACCCAGGCTCGGAATACAGATACGCCGAAGTTAGTTTTATGTTTCATGAACTTAGTTTAACTATGAACAAAACATCGGATAATCACACGCTTTGATAGTCGATATTTTTTTATTATTTGCAATATATTTTTTTTCGTGATATTGACATGAGATTCATTCACTTTGCTTGCCATTTGACCATTTCTATTGAAATTGAGATTAAATTTCTCCCACGTCAATCCACACACAGCTCAATGTCAACGCAAAGAGCCACATCGGATGAATACATTTGAATAAAATTTTAACACTTACCATCAATAGTCCCGTTGTGAGGGCAATCAGGGCAACCGTTAGAAATGCAAAACATTGCGACAGAATGCGATTGCTGTGAATTTGCAATGAAAATTGTTTGATGCCATTGGGAATCTGCAAGGACAAAGTGAAAGCATGAAACGTAAAAAACTGAAAGAAGCAGCTGAACTCAAAAATAAATAAAGTTAAAAAAACACATTTCGGTTTGAAATACTTAAGTAAATAACTTTGAAATTAAATTGAAAGAGCCAGAGGTCATGTACGGAATATGTTAATTATTTGTGATTTTCACACTTACATTAATATTGAAATTGTGGCATGTAACCAGGCCAGATATTAGCAAGACCACCGTTACACTAAGGCAAGATATGCCAATTGTAAATGCATTACTGAAAGAAAATAAATATACAAAATAATGATTTGAATATTGACTTTGTTAGCTAGTTCCAATTTCAACTTGATACCAACCTTGTAAATATACACAGACGCATTATAGTCGTTCCGACTAAGACAATGAAACTGCAATAAAAATATACGCTTAACATTCGATCTGGTTCTGTTGCATACTGTGAGAAGACAAGAAGAAAATGAAAAAAAGAGTAATTTAAAATTCTACACAAGAACATCGTTTGCCGGCAATAATTATTATATAACCAAATGAGAAATAGATAATTTGATATTTGGTCCATTTAAGGAGCTATTCCAAATGTACCGCTCATTTTAAGTATTTTAATAGTTTTAGCGGAACGTTTAACCAAAGTATTTCGTTTTTTTTCAGGTTATAACAACATTTAAAATATAAGTCTATGTTTGACATTTATTTCCCACGAAGGCTTCAACCCTACCCATGGCTTTAAGGAATCATGATCCAATAATTTGTTATGTTTGACCGGGCCAAACTGTTTATACCCTCTAACACGTGAATTCAAAATTCGATTCGATTATGTCATAGTATGTAGTTGACGCTCCAAAAAAATAGTGGTCCAAATTACGAACACTCTAGTTGGAAAATTTAAACGGGACTTTTTTAATTTATTTCTTATTCACCAGGAATCCGATATATCAAAATATAGACACTCCCGAGAAAAAAATTCGGTTGAAAATTCGGAAAAAAATTCAGAAAATAAAGCGGAACTTTTACGTGGGATTATATGAAAACTTCAAATCCTTTCATAGCAAATTAAAGCCACATGGCTGGAAAAATCGGCTAAAGTTTTCAAAACACCGAAAATGGAAAGGTATGGGAGCTTTATCAAACCGTAAACAGACATTGATAATATTTCGTAGGAAGATTTGACAACCGATAATAATACTTATTCGGTTAAAAACCGTGCTCAAAATAACGAATATTATGTAATTTTTGTCGGGATATTTTCTACTACATGAGAATCCAAAATATTAAATTGCTCCCAAATGGGTTGGATTTGGTAGGGTACCGTTATATGGGGGCTATCCGGAAACATAAGCCAACATTAATAATTATGCGTACCAAAATATCAACTCACAACTAATTCCGTTCAAATAACATATCTAAAACCGCCAAAGTACCGAACGTTGGATGGGGCTACACTAAAATGTGAACCAATAATGGAAATTTTCGGCAGGAACGTGCCAAAAATCTTCGTAGTACCGAATATTTTGGGTACCGTTATATGGCTGGACCAAAAGGACATACATCGCACAGTGGGAAAAATACCGATCTAGCGCGCAGAAAATCTAAAAATGAAGTTGAAGGAAACTTTATAACATTAATGCAGTTTTAAAGTAGAGTGTTGAGAGTACTTAAGTTCGTATAAAATAATCCGAATTAATAAGCTAGAACGGAATAACGGTACATTTAAAATAGAAAATTTTTCCAATGTTAAAAATGGCATTTTTAGCTATAAAATTGCGATGGTCGTGTTCATTGTGTGAATATATTATTATAAAATTTTGTCCATTTTTGATATATAGTATTGGTATTTAATTAAATGGTATAGTTATATAACCCATAAGTTATTATAATTTTGGTTTTTCGGGCTAAATATATGTAAGGTCCGTTTTTTTTTAATTCATTCAATTAAAATAGGGGTTTAGTATGGAGTGCAGTCGAGTTCAGCGTTGATTTTTGTTTTATTTTTCTTGTGTGTCTGTCTAGAACATCATACTAAATTTTTTCCTGCGACTCTCGGATTTATGGCAATTTTTTGAAAAATGCCAATTTGGTGTAGGAAGCTTTTTTTAAGGTTTTGTTCAAATAAAATTAAAAATTTGTGAATTTTTTTGATATAATTCATCAAATATGACTTGGAATAGATCACAGCATAGCAGATAAGAAAAAAACAAGTTCAAAATGTCCATCCTAAGGTTCCAGAGTACTGGGTGTGAGTATGAAAATGAGGGTATTTAAGTAAGCTGTTCCAAACGTTGATTTTAAACTCATGCACTGAATATACATTTATTCCAAATGTCTTTTTAAATAAAAATTGAAAAAAATTAAAATACCGCAGGTAAAGGGACCACTTTATATATACACGGTTTTACCTACATTTATGGTTTTCGCTATAAGCACATAACACCAAACGTAATGAATGATTACAGTAAAATTTCGTCACTGACACCAAACATCAACTTATACGAATACGGCCTGTCTACCTTACATGCAGGGATTCGATATTTAGAATGTATATTGCACATTTCATTCCGACTGGTTTTGAAAAAGTGGAAAATTAATGGCTCCGATCGGCCACTTTTCGAAGAAAGGAAGGCACGTATCATTAATGAATTGAAGGAAGAAATGCACATTATTCTTGACACACCTAAGTCAGTATCCGGAACAACAAACGATGGCAATACTGCTAAGCGTTTTTTAGCCAACCTGGCTTGGCATCGTCGATAACTGGTGTTGATGATTAATTAAAAATTTTAGTATCATCCTTTCAACCATGGCCTGTGGATATGCTATTAACGCAGAGTCTTTTAAAAAACTTACTGAGGAAACAGTTATTCTTTTCGTGGAACTATATTCTTGGTTCTATATGCCTCAAGCATACACAAAATATTAGTGCATGGAGCTGATATAATTAAATGTGCAGCTTTGCCCATAGGAATGTTGTCTGAAGAAGCCATGGAATCCACAAATAAGGACTTTCGGAACTACAGGGAACTGTACACCAGAAAAATTAGTCGTGAGGAAACAATGAGGGATCTTATCAATAGGTTGCTATTTTCTTCTGATCCAAAAATATCAAGTTTGTCTCGTAGTACATCTCTTAACCATCGATATAGTGAGCCACTATCTGAAGAAGTCCTTAAACTACTGGAGGATCCAATGCTACCAAATAATTCAGATCAGATCTCGGATTCTGAATGTGATTAGTATTTAATAAGTAATGACTAAATTTTATAAAATATATATAGTTTAATGTTTTAGATATATAATATTAACAATAATAAAGATACATACAATAACAATAGTGTTTGTCCTTAACCCACTTTTTACCCTTCAAATGTTTCTGAATCTTTAAAAGAAGCTCCCATTTTAGGAGTACTATTAGTTATAACGAAAAATGTTGTTTATTATAAAATATTTCAATTGCTTCAAAATAGTAATTTTCACCTAAAAATTTAAGTTTTTTCTAAAAAAAAAAAAAAAAAATCGGCGCTTAATGGGTTAATAAAAAAAATTGCCAAATTTTTTCATAAAATGATTAAAATTGTCCATCTAAATCTATTCTTATCCAAAATATCCATAAACATACAGTAAAACATTTACTTTGATTTTCTGTGCATTTTTTCCCACTGTGCATCGGTGTCCATAAATCGAGAATAGAAAAAATTTTCGAAAAACAAAACATTATTTTTTCGAGTTAAAAAGAAACAAATTTTTTTTAAATACGTCCTGAATTATGCAAGACACTTTTAATTGCCCCCATTTTTTATTCAGTAGGCGACAGAGTTGAGGGGAATGGTAAACCTTAACCTCTCTCGCCCACAAACTAACGATTTCCGGAAGTAATAATTACTTAATTTTTGGAGACTTATTTTATTTTGGGGAGTTTCTTCATTTCTTTGGGGAATTGTTATAGATTGTTTTTTGGGTATTGATTTCATAATTTTCCCAAATTTTAAGACTTTTTTAATTTTGTCCTTGGGGCTTAATTTCATTGTGGAATTATTTCGTAACACCATTTATGTATATCTAAGTATATTTACCTTTCTTTCCAGGTTTTGTTCTTTGAAGGAAAGTAAAATTGATTTGCAATGTTCAGCTCTTAAATGATCTATACTACGAGCATCTATTGCCCTCATAAGATATTCGTTGACTTCATCTTCTGGATCTTTAGATGATTCTGTGTTGTCACTGAAACCGAATCTGTATGAAAAACAAGAAAATTTACAATGTAAAATATCATTTAATTTATGTTACCAAAAAATGCCAAACATCTGCAATACTTCATACAGCAACTTACTTGGAACAATTTTTCTGCATACTTCCATGGCCCATCATTCGTAATTCCTTGGATATATTTCCGTTCACTTGCAAACGATTTCGTGATTTTTTATTCTTTTTATGTTTGTAGAAAATAAATAACAAAAGATGCATTTAATAAAAATCCTATCAATTTGTTATTCCTTTGGTACGAGTACAATAATAAATTCTGTTCTATCATTACATAAAATTACATTACACTTATAATTGTCGGATTTTTTTCCATTTCATTACATACCGGTCTATAAATATCTCCGGGAACAATTAGATATGTTTCAATTTGATGATCCTTCAGATATGAATTACGTTCCGCACCATTTCCCACTTCCACTTCGTAGTCACCATCGAGGCATTTCAATGTTTCTTTGGTAATGTGAACGCGTCTGCAATGAAAAGGGGGAAAATATATGTATATATGTACATAGTCTGTTAATTTGTGATTACTTTAAAGTCACATACAGCTATGTGAATATTAAATTAACATTTCTGCTTTAGGGGTAGAATAGAAATAAAATGAAATTTCATTTTATTAGTTTCAATTTTGTTCTTCTATAAGGTTAATATGATGTTTTTCCTTTTCAAATTCATGGAATCCTAAATAAAACACATATTCTATCAATTCTGCTCCTCTCCCGCATAGTTTAATTTCATCATGCACATTTTTACTGCATCGGAATATCTTATCCTGTTTGATGTCAATTAACTGGATAATTGTTCAAAGCCATTTGTTTTCTTTTAACAAAAAGTAATTACCCGCATAAAAGAGATGGCACACACACATACACACATATTGGGAACATTGTGTTCATGAATGTACATGTCTGTGATACTCCTTGACATCGAATATTGTGAACAATTTTTTGGACGCTGTAACTACGTAGGGTTTTGTAATAAGTTCGACAACAAACTTTTAACACTACCCCATTTTATTGTATTTGATCGATCACTTAAGGGTTTACCACCCACTTATGGCGTCAAATATTTTGTTGAAACGTTCAAGTCGATCACAAAAATATGGACATTTAAAGAGTGGAAGCTTAACTTAAAACTCATCTAAACTTTTCCCTAAAATTTATATAAAACAATCTTTATACCCTTCACCACACTGTGGTACAGGGTATTATGTCTTTGTGCATATGTTTGTAACAGGCAAAAATAATCGAGATAGACCCATGGTTCCTTTTGAGAATATGCATAGAATCACTTTCTAAGTCGATTTATGCATGTCCGTCCGTCCGTCCGTCCGTCCGTCTGTCTGTCGATGTTAAATTGTAAACAAAGTACAGGTCGCATTTATGATCCGAATTTGATGAAATTTGGCACAGGTCACTTATTCGGCCCAAGGACGAACCCTATTGAAATTGGGAAAAATCGGTTCAGATTTAGATATAGCTCCCATATATATATTTAACCGATTTAATGTAAACGGTCCCTATATATCTTTGATTTGCACGAAATTTGGTACAGGCTAATCATTTAGGTCTATAATGATGTCTGCCAAGTTTCGTGAAAATCGGTCCAGATTTAGATATAGCTCCCATATATAGTTTCGTCCGATTTCAGGTAAATGGTGCCCCAAAGTCCCTATATATCTTTTGATTTGCACGAAATTTGGCATAACGTGCTGAATTAAGCCTAGAGTGATGTCTGCCAAGTTTCGGGAAAATCGGTCCAGATTTAGATATAGCTCCCATATATAGGTTCGTCCGATTTCATGTAAATGGTGCCCCAAAGTCCCTATATATCATTCGATTTCCACGAAATTTGGCATAACGTACTGAATTGAGCCTAGAATGATGTCTGCCAAGTTTCATGAAAATCGGTCCTGATTTAGATATATCTCCCATATATAGTTTGGTCCGATTTCATGTAAATGGTGCCCCAAAGTCCCTATATATCTTTCGATTTGCACGAAATTTGGTACAGCCTATTCATTTAGGTCTAGAATGATGTATGTAAAGTTTCGTGGAAATCGGTTCAGATTTAGATATAGCTCCCATATATAGTTTCGTCCGATTTCATGTAAATGGTACCCCAAAGTCCCTATATATCTTTCGATTTGCACGAAATTTGGCATAACGTACTTAATTGAGCCTAGAAGGATGTCTGCCAAGTTTTATGAAAATCAGTCCAGATTTCTATATAGCTCCCACTTATAGTTTCGTCCGATTTCATGTAAATGGTGCCCCAAAGTCCCTATATATCTTTCGATTTGCACGAAATTTGGTACAGCCTAATCACTTAAGTCTAGAATGATGTATGTAAAGTTTTGTGAAAATCGGTCCAGATTTAGATATAGCTCCCATATATAGTTTCGTCCGATTTCATGTAAATGGTACCCCAAAGTCCCTATATATCTTTCGATTTGCACGAAATTTGGCATAACGTACTGAATTGAGCCTAGATTGATGTCTGCGTTGTTTCGTGAAAATCGGTCCACATTTAGATATAGCTCCATTTTATTATAGTTTGATTTTAAGTACTTGACGCACCAAGGAACCAATAGGAACAAAACGTTCTGAAATTAGTATAACGTATCCTGTGACAAGTTTGTTTGAAATCGCTTAATATTTGGCCCGATTTCAAGTAAATTGCGCATCAAACTCCTCATGTTAGTCAGTTTGACATCAAATTTTGCACAACGTACAAAATTGAGCATAGAATTATGTAGTTTCGTTTTCTAGAAGTACAGACATAGCCCAACGGATGACCTATTTATATTTGTTTGAAGTCGATTTACATACTTTATGGATAGATCTACGTAGATTCACATTTAGATAAATATCACATATTTTATTTCATTCAAGTTCATGCTAATAGTCCTGTTTAATATACCCATAGTGGTGAAGGGTATCATATAGTCGGCCCCATCCGACTTTACTACTTTCCTTACTGGTTTTTTTATAACAACAATCTTTTTTTACAGTGAGCGAAGCCGTATATTCAGACGGCTGCGTTCATATGATACCCTAAACAACTATTACGAAAATCTAACTTCTATACGGTTCTATATTTTGAGCCTGGGCAAAAATTCGCGATATTTTCACCTCCTTAACCGATCATATGTAAACAGCTCCACTTTTTAATCCATATGACATATTTTGCAATTCTTGTTTTGACGAGGTGAATATTTACGCCACAAAATGAAAAATTGGTCACTATAGCTTTTAGTTGATTTGACCCTCGGAATATTGACCAATCATCATTTAAGCCGGTCTAAGTATTTGGTCAGATCCCCTTCACCGTGTAAAATATGTGACGTTTTGCATATGGCCTCTAGGGCGACTATAAAATCTGACAAAAAGTTTTCGGTTCATTGACCCCCTAAATATAATTTCAACATTACCGAAAATTATAGGCATTGTCCTTGACTTCATGCAAAATTCAAAGCGATCCGACCGATATTTCCGCCCTCTAGTGGGGTAATAGTAATACTAAACTATATCAGAATACGTAGAGCCCTTTAAATATTTTCGTATCTGAGTATATACAACAATAAAATTGGTAGCAATTTAGAAATATACTGTCCCTCTTGGATATACTATCAACTTCTCGGGTCTATGTCCTCTATGTAATTTTGTAATTTTTCACACAAAAGTCTGAGTCCACTCGCTCAATATTGCCCGATCTTCATCAGAACTGCCAGAATAAAATTTCGTGGTGTTCGGATCATAATTGTAGCATCTAGAACGACCAGAAAAATAGACATAATTAATGTTCTTGGTCCATTCATCCACTAAATATTAACCGATAATTACCAAAAATAATAGGGATCTTCTTTGGTCAGAACCCATACACATGTACAATTTTGTGACGAAATTGTGTCCTGTATCTTGTTTACAAATTATAATACACATACCGACCGACGGCCGGACGGACAAACATGTCTAGATCGACTCAGTTACACGAGATATGACGATCGGTATACATAAAGGTGTGTCTAGGACCAATATTTCGCGCCGTTACAAACTCGTGAGACAGCTATAATACCCTATCATCATAGTTGTGTAGGGTATAAAAACTTGAAAAATAAATGTATTAAATTTGGAGATTTTGACAAAAGAATGGAAACGTACATATTAATTTAAGACGTGGCTATGTATAATTTCTTATACCCTGCACAATGTTGTTATAAAGACACTTGGAATCTACAAGTTTCTTTATAACGACGGCCTTTATACGGAAAATTAAAAACCAAATTGCATGGAATCCGATTTGCCAAATTATAGCCACTTCGGTGAGAAAATTCCGTTAAAATCTTATTAACACAAAAATAGGGATGGACTTTTATTTGGTGGCATCGGCTGATATCGAAAATTATATAAAAATATGTTGGTTTTTGTTCTCCAAAAACTCGTAATTTTGATAGAAAATTTTGGAAAACCCTTTCAAATATCGGAAATCCACAGGAACCTTTTTCGAAAATTCTGGAGGAAATACTGCTAAAACCCAAAAAAAAAACGAAAATTGAGCTGTGCTCTATAGAAAATCCGCAAAAATTAGTTTTACCTTCCAATGTCCCGAAATGGCAAATAATTGCTACTTCGATGAGAAAACTCGATAAAAACCTTCAACATACTGACAAAGGAACGCTTCCCTTATATGGGGGGATTTGATAATTTTCTGTACATATGGGAGCCTTCAAGAATCCTTTGTACCAAATTATATGGGAACCAATAAATGCCTGAAAAATCAAATTAGAGCCAAAAACCCCTTAAAACAATATTAATAGTTTTTGGTTCGGATATTTTTTCTCAAAGATCATCCAAAATATAAAATTACAGCCATAAATGGTACAATTATGGGGGCTATACTAAAATGGTTATATGTAGTAGGAAAGTTACTACCCATCGAAAACCATAACTACTAAATTACAGATAATTACGTTGAAAATCGTGTCAATTTGAATATACCGAATGTCGAGAGATTTTGTGGTTAATGAGAGTTTCTAATATCAAATAAAAACCGCGGAGGCTGCCCAGTATTGAAAAGTTGGTGTATGAAGATTTTCTACGCAGTAAAAATACAAAATATAAAATTACAGCCAATTAGGCAGAAAAACGTGACCAAATAACTTAAAATACCATATATATATATATGGGGCTATTCTAAAAAGTGGACGAATATAGATAATTTTAATGCGAGCAAACTCTAATATGCAATACAAATTTCAATTGATTATGACGAAAACAATAAATACCGAAATATTAGGGGTGCCATTATATGAGGGTACCCTAAAAACCTAGGGATAATAGCAACCTAGGGATAATAGCAATGAATATGCAAAATGTAAAAGCTCTATTTGTAAGGTACATATCGTTAGCTAAAATGCAAAAAAGGCGTAACTAACAAAAAATTGTGTACTGAATTGAGTCTTGAATGT